GAGTGTTGATCGATACATTGCTGTGTGTCACCCTGTGAAGGCTCTGGATTTTCGTACTCCTCTCAAAGCAAAGATAATCAATATATGTATCTGGCTGTTGTCCTCATCAGTGGGTATATCTGCAATAGTTCTTGGAGGAACCAAAGTCAGGGAAGGTGAGTATGATCCTGATCACTTAAACTTAAATTCTTTTGTTTCTAACATAATGTAAAAATGTGGCTTGGACCATTGAGAACAGTGGAACCTCCTTAACTCACACTTCTCTAATTTGTGTATCCTATAATCTGTGTATAAAAATATTGGTTACGTTTTTCAGCAAGTATTTAATAATAAATGCTTTTCTATCTCATATTTCTAGGACTTTGATACTTACAATATTTTCCATGTATTATGGAACACTTTAGAAAGAAATATAAATAATGAAAAGTAAGATGTCTTTGTTAATTAAATGACTGAAACATACACCGAGTCATTATCTCTCCTAGGAAAAGGCCACCAAAATCTATGAGTGGACAGTAGACAGTAGGAATTAACAATTCTGAAGATACTACAGAAGGTGGTTTAAAATCTCAGTTTTTCCTGACCCCAAATGTGGCAACTGGCCTGACCTTGAGCAGAGTGGCAAGACCCTGTAGCTAGGAATCTCTGGATTTGCTCCCAGCAGGACAGTCAGCACACCCTAGTTGAAGTCCCGCATCTTAGTTGTAGCCAACACCCAATGCCTCTGAGCCAGGTTTAAAAACACCCTGACACATGTAGCAGAAGGGGGCGGGGAGGATCAGGGCAACTAGCAAAGCCCAGAAACATGGGAAATACCCACAGTAAAATACAGACATAGCTGTGCCTAGATCATCCCCAACCAGTGGCTGTCCCACCTCTTCTTGAACACTTCTAGTACTGGACAGTCCACAACTTCCCTATGTAGTCTATTCCACTGCCTCACTATTTTAATGGTAAAGAAGTTTTTCTGGTTATCCAATCTAAATTTACTTTGCTGCAACATCAAGTCATTGGTTTTTGCCCTCCTCTCTGCAGCAAGAGAGAAAAGGTGTTTTCTCTCTTCTTTATGGCAACCCTTCTAGTATTTGAAGACTGCTATCATGTCCCTCTTAAGTGCCTTTTCTACAAGCTGAATGTGCCTAGCTACTTCAGCCTTTCCTAGTATGACTTGCTTTCCAAGCCTCTTATTATCTTTGTTGCCCACCTCTGGCCTCTCTAACTTTTCCATGTCCTTTTTAAAATGTGGAGCCGAGAAATACACAGATGAGGCCTAACTAGTGCCAAGTAGAGGCATTATCACCTCCCATGTCTTGCACCTAATGCTTCTATTCATGCAGCCCAAAACTGTATTTGCCTTTTGTGTGGCTACATCATGCTACAGACTCATACTGAGTCTGTGATCTACCAAGACTCCCAAATCCTTTTCCATGGTGCTGCCATCCAGCCAGGTGTCCCCCATTTATATTAATGTTTTGGATTATTCTTCCTGAGCACTTTGCATTTGTCTCCACTGAACTTCATCCTGTTAGCTCTAGCCCAGCTTTCCAATCTGTTGAGACCCTTCTGAATTGTGCTCGCATCCTCCAATACGTTCACAATCTTTCCCAGTTTTGTATCATCTTCTAACTTCCTCAAGAAGCTTTCTATGTCAGCATCCAAATAACTAATAAACATGTTGAACAGCCCTGGGTCTAGGACAGACCCTTGTGGGTCTCCACTCAAAACCTCCGGCCATTCTGACACAGACCCATTAATAATTACCCTTTGCTTAGAGCTATTGAACTAGTTCTCTCTCCACCTTGGAATAGTTTCATCCAGCCCACATTTCTCTAATTTGTTTATAAGAAGGTCTGTGGGACCTTGTCAAAAGCCTTGTTGAAGTCCAGATTCACTATATCTATACCATTTGCTTCATCCACACAAGTGGTTACTTTGTCAAAGAAGATCAAGTTTGTCTGACATGATTTGTTTTAAGTTCATGCTTTGTGCTTGTGATCAACCTTTCTTCTTTCAGATGCTTGCTAACTATCTTATTTAGGATATGCTCCAGTAACTTCCCAGGTATTGAGGTGAGGCTAACAGGTCTGTAATTCCCCCAGTCCTCCTTTTTGCCTTTTTTAAAGAGGGGCACTACACTGGCTCTTTTCTAGTCTTCTGCTACCTGGCCCACCTCCCATGACTTCATGAAGATCATTGACAAGGGCTCGGAGATCTTTACCAGTTCTTTCAGTACCCTGGGATGAAGGTCACCCAGCTCTGCTGACTTGAATTTATTCACATCCACAAAAAACTCTCTGGCCATCTCTTGTTATCTCATCCCTCAGCTTTCCCCATTCCTTATCCAGATAATCCTAATTAGGTGTCTGTGTGCAGCTAAATTTTTTGTGCAGGCTGAGGCAACGTAGCTCTGCCTTCTTGAGTAGCTCTGCCTTCCTTATATCTTCTGTTAGGAGTCCCCCCCTCCCCAGTTTGTTATCAGAGGACCCACAGCTTCCTTGGTCCTTCTTTTCTGGCCAACATATTCATAGAATCTTTTCTTGTTGCCCTTAACTTCCTTTGCTGGGTACAGTTTGTTCTCCATCTTTGCATTTCTGATTTTGTTTCCTGCAGGTTTTTGCTATTTCCTGGTGTGCTTCCTTGGTGACCTCCCCATCCTTCCAGTGCCTGCATGCTTTCCTTTTGCATTTGAGGCATTTTAGAAACTGCTTGTTCAGCCACATGTAAGCCAAGCGTTAGTGTTTTGAAAATGGAGATACTACAGCACTTTGGCCTTCCTTATTTCATCTTTGCATGTCTGAGCAATACTTTTATACTCTCTAGTTGTTTGTCCAAGTTGCTACTTCTTGTAAGCTTTCTTTTTGTGTTTTAGCTCCCTGAAGCTAAGCCAGACCAGTCTTCTGCCATACTTGCTAGTCTTTCTGCACATTGGGATGGTTTGTCCTGTGCCCTCTGTAAGGTTTCTTTAAAATACAAACAGCTCTCCTGAACTCCTTTCCCCCTCAGAGTGGCCTCCCAGGGGATCCTGCCCACCAGTTTCCTGAGTGAGTCAAAGTCTGTTTTTCTGATGCCCAGGGTCCTTTCTTCATAAGGTTCTATATTAGGAAGTAACGTGATTTAAGAGGAAGTCATAAAGCTTCAGGAAGGACTTGCACAGACCTAAAGAAGGATACATTGCATTCAAAAGCTTGTCTAGGTCTATCCCAGCCATGCAGTTGGCCCAATAAAAGATACCGCCCACAAAATCCTTGCATTGTACAGTAAAGCTAGGATTCTGACAGAACACTTTGCAGTCAATCAATTGAACAGCAGCAGTAAAAACACTGTCTACTCAAGGCAAAACAAGTTTCAACAGCAATTTCCTTAACTAGCACCACCTGCTCATCAAATCTACCCCAGGAATTCTATAAAAAATACTGCTGGTGCCACTTCATTGCAGGACCTGTAATGAAATCTTGAATTCAAGTCCAGTTGTATTAGCTAAGACAACAAACGTTCATTTTTGCTTGACAAGATATTACTAGAACGTAAAATGATGTTCTGTGACTTCTAGTCATGATGTTACAGGAAGAACAGAAGCAAAGTGATGTCTGTGGCTCAAACCTGGCAGTTGCTATGCAATGAAGTGTGATCCACTAAAAAAAAAAAGCAGTTCAATTAGACACTGTGTATATCTGTTTGTTTTACTTATTCTTTACTAAAAAGGAATCTATTACTAAGAAAACATTTTTTTCTCAGTGCTATGCCTAAACTATTTGCACTTAAGAAACTTTATAGGAAAACATGCCCCCACAGTGTTTCACTTCAAGATTGTCTCATGATGACATGTATGTGATCAGACAAAGCAACCTCATTGAATTCCATCCTTTAGGATGGCAGAAATCTATAATTTTGTATAACATGATTACAGCTACAAGAGTTCAGCTCCATTGAACATGAAACCTGATCTGGTCTTAAATACCTTAGATCCAAATCCAAAAAACCTGTTCAATCTCTATAGGTTTTATTTTTGTTTCTCTCTGCTTTTTCTACATATATATGAAAGACTGACTAATTTCATAAGTTGGTGACATTAACCAGTTGCAATAGTAAATGGAAATGGTTACCAAAATGATTTGGTGAAACATCATTTATTAGGATTGTTACGTGGTAATCACTTTTCCTAGCTTCTTTTGTGATAGAGGCATGGTTTAGAATATCTAATAATAAAACAAATTTCTTTTTCTTTTTGCCTATTTTACTTTTAGATACAGGTAGTACCGAATGTTCTTTGCAGTTTCCAGACACGGATTATGTGTGGTGGGACATCTTCATGAAAATATGCGTCTTCGTCTTTGCATTTGTTATTCCAGTTCTTATTATAATTGTTTGCTATACCCTGATGATCCTGCGCTTGAAAAGTGTCCGACTCCTCTCAGGGTCTCGAGAAAAAGACAGAAACCTACGTCGTATTACCAGATTGGTTCTTGTGGTTGTGGCAGTTTTCATTATCTGTTGGACTCCCATTCACATTTTTGTGCTGGTTGAGGCACTAGGGGATGTATCCCATAGCACTGCAGCAATTTCCAGCTATTATTTCTGTATTGCCTTGGGTTACACCAATAGCAGCCTAAATCCAATCCTGTATGCTTTTTTGGATGAAAATTTCAAGAGATGTTTCAAGGACTTCTGCTTTCCTTTTAAGACGAGGATGGACAGGCAGAGCACCAGCAGAGTCAGAAACACAATCCAAGACCCTGCTTATACAAGGGATGCAGATGGGACAAACAAACCGGTATGACTAGTCGTGGAGATGTCATCTTATTGTCCTCAAGGAAGAGAAGAATCAAATGATTTAGGACTAACTCAGATAACTACTGCTGTTTGAGTGCAGTTTGCCACACAGAGACATTTTTGATAATATTTAAGAGCTCTCATAGTTTGCAGTAAAATAAATGAGATCCAGGTGATACTTATGGATGAGGTATTCCCCAAAAATAAGCTCAGTGGAAAAAAGATCGGCTCTGCAGTTTGGGGACCATGCTTTCCATATTGCTAAGCAGGTAGTAAGACACTCACTTCCTGCAAGACAGGAAAAGCTTAATACCAGAATAAGCTCAAAAAGTGGCTCAAAATGAAAAAGTTTCTTATTACAGTTTTCTTCTTGCAGTGTGTATCTGTCATTACCATATTTAAACATTTGGTCATAACATAATTTGAATGAATGCAAAAACTCCAGTTTTTCCTTTAAATTGTCAGAAATGAGAAGTAGTCATCCTAATTTATTTTGCTTTTTAACAAAGAACACTCTCAGTTCTGAACCTGCAGAGCATAACAGAGAATCAAAACCTTTATTGACTACTCTGTGTGAACTAATGTATGTTTGTCTGTGCTGTAGAAATCCAATTTAAGCATGATCTGCCTTCATGCCAAAGTGATTTTATTGTGTCTATATTGTGAAGACTTTTCAGTGTTTTAAAAAAAAAGATTTAAGGACAAAATATTAATATATTTTTGCATATATTGTCACAGATGATGCTTAATGTATTTGTGTGATTCTCCAGAATGTTGTATATCTATTGAATGTGGATATTATATTATTCCTTTCAACTTGTTTTACAGAAAATACAAGAAAATGCAAATTCTTGCATTCAGTTACTGAAAACTAGTATAACATTTATAATACAACCAAATAATTGGATTCAGGTTTAAATGTTTATGTGCAGTGAATCAGAAAATGGGCATATGTAATATATTAGCTCTTCTTAATATTTAAACTATTAACTATTTAAACACATTAAAATAAGCATATGTTTGGAGATTCTTTATCATACAATGTAATAAATTCCCACCCACATCTACTTCACTTGTGTACCACTCAATCATGAGAGTGGGAGTTATTCTTTTTGATGCACTGTGCTACATTGTGCTCATGAAAGCCCTCCTTGTATCTTTATTTACAGGAACAGTGTTAGCCTCCAGACACTCTTGAGTTGAGTAAATGTTATCTATTTTTTTCCTACAAAGATAGGGAAGCCAACGGAGAGAGAATTTAACTGACTTGTCTAAGGTAAACTTACCACAGAAATGAAACTAAACTATAGATACCCAGTCTCTATGCCAGTGATATACAACCAGGTTGCCATGACATCATTTGAAGGGTGCTAGAGGGAACTACACAATGTTAGCACTATTATGTGTACAAACATTATTCACAAGATAAACCTAGAAATGTCTTATAGGAATCTATAGTGTTAAAAACATTCTGACCTGTTGTGGTCTTTCTCAGTTCTTTGCAACAGAAGAATTGCTCTGTTATTTCTCTGTAGTAAAAAAAAAAAAAAAAAAGGAGTGAAAAGTACAAGTTGACATTTTCTGAGTAGTAACTTGAGTCTACCAAAAGGTGCTTTGAGTCTAAACAAAGTGAGAACCATTGCCTTATGCTGTCATCTATTGGATCAACACATTGCTCCTAATTCTGCTTTCACTGAAGTTAATGGGAAATTCCTTGTCTGATACCCGGAGCTAGCATCTGATGATGTGAGCCACAGCTCACAAAAGCTTGTGCTGCACACACACACGCATGCACACACACTTTTGTTGTCTCTAAGGTGCAAATCTACTTGACTTCAGGCTAACTATTGGAAGTTAGGCCAGCCACCAGGTGAACTGCAACTTGACAGAGATTTCATCACTCACAGGCAAGTCAAGAGTAGAGCTGGGCAAATCATTTTGCAGAAAATAGTACATCTGCAGAAGAATGTAGGTGGGGAGAAGTCAAATCATTTGTGACTTTTATTTGGATTTGGTGAATCCTTCATCTGAAAAAATAAACGCATTGAAAAAGGCTTTATTTTTTAATATATTTTCAATGAAATTTCCTAATTTCATTCAAAACTGATTTTGCATAATGTTAATTCTTTAGAAAAGAATTTGAGAAGGATGAAATAACTTGAAAACAAAATTAAACTCTTTGTTCTATGTTGATCTAAAATTGCACTTCAGCGAAAAATATGTAACATTTCCATTTTGTGTAAATTTAGGCACACACATTTGTAGTTAGGTACTGAAGTCAGTGACCACACACAGACTTCAATGAGTGTAGCTGGGTAGCCACTACTTTTGCCACTTCATAGTTAAGGAGCCTAATGTTTAGTTATCTAATACTGACAAAGCATCTTGTTAAATTTTCTATTCCCTGATTTTGTTCCAGTGAGGAACCTAACATGAAATATTGGTGTGAGCACATCACTGATTTCCAGAAATGAGATGTATACAACTATTGTACATTCCTAATTTTGAAAATGTAGTTCTCAATTCTTCTTTAGAAAATCCTTGCCTAAGCTTGTATCCTCCTTTCTAAATAATGTTATAATGTACAAATAATACAGAAAGAAATAGTTTCAGATAAAATTCACAATAAAATATTTAAAATATATGAATGGCAAAAATCTCTTCTTTCTACTACCCATTCTGCACTCCTCCCCTATGAAGAATTTTAAAATTAATGTTACGTATGATGTGCTAATAAAGAATATTCAGTTGATTTTAACCTTGTGGTTAAGAAAATTATAGTGTAAGTCTTTTTGCTGTTAAGGTATGTATAGTCATTATTAATTGCTTGACTATATTTATTAAAATTTCAATAATATGGCATGACAGGGAAACATAGAATACAGTGAAAATATTTGGAAAGTAATCTGGATGCCCCCTCTGAAAGAAGAAATAACAACTGGGTGTAAGGGTAATGCCTTTTTTTTAAATTTACTGATGCTCACACATAAACTTCTTCATATAGTCATGTATAAAAGGAGAATGAAAAAACTTGGACTTCATGATATGTTCTAATTTTTTTTTAAAAGATGTATTCTTGTTCAGATTCCATTAGTGTACTGTATATATGTATTTGTATTTAAATACAGGTGTTGCTCTCTGCACTATGTAATACATTGCCATGCCCTGTTATGAAAAGTCTATGTAGTTCTTCACTTGTTAAAAAAAGGATAACTGATCATCAAAATTTTGTGATGACTTGTTTTTTTAATTAAATCACCTTACCTGTTGGATTTGAGGAAATATATCAGCACCTGGCAATTTTTGTATGATTTTACTGACTTACTGAAGGCACTTGTTTCTGTGCTTATCTATCTCCCATTGAAAGATCTTGGTCTTATGTACTCTGCCTTCTCTGAACATGGTTACTTCTCTGTAGTATGGGGATTCTGTTTCTTCCCTTTTTCACAGGTACATTTTAAGGGATGCAGATGCTATTGAGATGGGCTATGATTCAAACAGTCCTTGTATGATAGCAGAAATCTGGAACCAATGAATAGTAGACAGTAATCTACTTCCAACAGATACAAAGTTGAATTCTATTAAGCTAGGATTCAGAAGTATTGGTCAGATCCTGCAGGGGCTTAGAAAGTGCTGCAGGGGTGTGTTAGGTGCCTGCCCCTGCCCCGATCTGCTGGTGGGGTAGTTAGCACTGTGCTAGCTACTGGCTACCCCACTGGCAGATGGGCAGGGATCTGGGATCTGCCCCTCCCCTGCATCTCTTTCCAAGTCTCCTGCCCCTCACTTAGGAGCCAGGGCCAGGAACTCCCTGCTGCCTGCCATTATCCCTGTCCCGGCAGCAGGCAGCCCCCACATGGGCAGGATTCAGTATCCCAGCCCCGTCCAGAAGAAAGCTGTCTTTTGGCCTGCTGCTCCTTGCCAACCCCTGGGCTAACACCCAGGAGGAGCCTAGAGCTCCCCTTGGTGGCAGCAGGATGGCAGCAGGGGCCCATTGCAGGGCCCCAGTAAGTGGGAGCAGTTTGGTGCCATTAGCAACAAATCTGCTTCCACAGATGCCTGCTCAGGAGCTTTTACTTGCAAGTTGTTTACTCACAAATAAACTGATCCCAGATCAAATGCACATGTAGACATGTCCACTCATGGAGTAGGCAAAGAATGGTGACAGATTTTGGAGGGCATTGTACTTCAGAAGGAATCTCCACAGCACTTCTTGGTTGACAGAGTTTTTGTGAGGTCAAAAAAGGCCATGTAGAGAAGCTTATGATGTTCCCAGCATTTTTCCTGCAGCTGGCAACCAGTGAAGATAATGGCATCTGGGATTTCCTCATCTCAAATCCTTAAAATGAGGGCATGGAGCTGCAATATGAGCTCCTCCCCCGCCCCCCCCCCCCCCCCCCCCCCT